TACAGTTATCTGTCACCTATAAATGCAATGACTAATTGCTGACATGTTGATATTTTGCATGGACGTCTATAGTTAAGGGTAACAGTAACTAATTAGCTCAAAACACACTGATGGTAATGATCACACCTATTATGCAGGTATTTTCTTCACAAACCGAAGACAACCCCAAAGTTATTTCAATTCATTCTGAGGGGGACATGGATGTTAGAAACACATTTCATAGAAATTCTTAGAAACAAATGATGAATAACAGACTGCCAGCCATTGCCATTTTCAGAGACATGCTGCTGGCTAAATGTCCTGATCTTCCTGGTAAATTCATATTTTGGATTTTGACAATACCTGGACAAACATCTTGAGAGTACAAGGAGGAAACATTTTTTCTGGAAGGATCATTAAGATACAAAGAAAGAGTTACATTTATTATTTATGTTTTATAACAGTTCAAAAAAAATCTTAACAGAAAGAACAATTCTACTTTAAGAAGTAAAAAAAGTTGGAAATTGAAACAAAAGAAAAAAATCACAAAACCTCCCTGTTAAGATTACTTTACTTGATAATTTACTTGATAAAGTTTTGTAAAACATCATGCTTTACCTTAAAAATCGGTTGATATTCTGTTATTTGATTTAAGTAAATGATATGAAACGTAATACAGGAGAGTAGAAAGATTAAGCAAGTAGGTTTTCTGACTTTTTTTATTCCCAGCATATATTGAATAAGTCCTTCTCTACTTTTAGACCAAAAATAGCTAAAGAATTATTCTCCGAGCTAAAGTACATAAGGAGCTTGTCACGTAAAGCTTTAAAGCTCAAACTTCTTGGAGCATCTTGGAGCAATATTCGCACACACAGCATTAACATCGTGGCTTTGGTGTGGTCACTGAGGCGAGTGAGAGCTGAATAGGGACAGGATTCTCCATATCCTCCCGTCCATGCAGTTCATTATTCCATCCCTCCATCAAAAAACATGATACTGAGATAAGTGCTTTCACTGTCTCCTTCTCCAACCGAAGAGCGCCGATGCTGCTATTTTTATACCACATTGTGATAGAAACCATCTCCATGACTACCAATATCTCTGCAGATGTATTGATGATATGAATGTGTTGGGTTGTTTTTCTCTCAGTTGGAAACCCAGCATTCGTGTCTCGCAACTAGGGCGCCCACTTTGGAGACGTCTCTTCCTTTGGTGTAGGCCTACAGTATGTTATGCTTAGTGGTTTAGCCAAATCACACTGAGAGGTAGCACCAGATCCAAGATCAGCTTTCATCTCTTCGTTTTTATATTTTTATGTTCCCCTAGACCAACCCTTAAATTGCTAAAGGCAGAGTCTGTCTTCCATTTTTTTATTTAATGCAGAAAACAATAAAGTATCTCGAAATGAAGATACTCAAGTAGAGTATTGAGTAGGCCTACAAAGTCACAGAGTAGTTTTCCACCTCTGCATTGGTGTCAAGGCAGGACTTTGTGGTTGCATATTAGAGAACATCCAGTATCCATCAGAATGTCCAGCCCCTGTAAAAGGAAGTCCTCTCAGAATGTTGCGGTGCAGAACGTCTTAACCTCTCTGCGAGTGAACGAAAACTGAGATTTCAATCAGTCTGACCTCAAAACCTGCTGGCAGAACGCACAGTGTTAGAATTTCAACAACATAATTCAATTTGTGCCTGTTAATACATGCACCGCTGTCGGAGCTGTGTCCTGTATTTACCTAGCTGGAATAACACTTAAGCTTGCATATCGTGGCCCACTGCTCGGTATCGTGAGAAAAAAAACGATGCGCTGAGGGCGGGGGAATACGTTTGGGTCTCTTTCTTCGAACCGTTCGTACTCGTAAGCCGGGGCCACGTGTTTTGGTTGGCGACCATCAGTAAAGTTAGCATGTCAGCACATTTTATCCCTTTTAAAAGTCTGTTTTTCCTTCTTTTTTAAAAACGTATCACTGACTGTGTAACACAAACACTTTAATGCGCCGGTGCTGCCTACAGTAACACCCCAGGGCAACCATGGAGAATATTCCCTCCCATAGCTTCTCTCTGTTTTCCAGAAATGTAAGGAAAATATAAAGTTTTTTCATTGAAATGTATAGAGCAAAGGGTGAAGGTACATGCAGTGTTTTTTAAACCGATACCCAAAGAAGAGTTAAGTAGTTTGACATCGAAGAATGTCGGACAGTAGTGCGATAATTTGTGTTTTGCAGGGTTCAATTCAGGAAAACTCAAAACTGATATAAACTGATCTGATATTTTCCTTTCGACTTCTCCTTTGGCAGGGAAATTCAGAATCTCTTTGCCTAAACTCGCAACAGTCAGAGCAAATGTATGTATGTTTGCATCTTTGGATTGCTGGCTTGAATATGCAATCACACTGCCTATAAATGAGTTGTATCCCAGAGAACCCTCCCACCCACTCCATGCAGAGCTAGTGAAGATGAGGAGTACGTTCAGCCACAGACTCATCCCTCCACGACACAGCACCAAGCGCCTCGGTCAGTCCTTTGTGCCTGTAGCTATAAATGCTATAAATGTATATCTATAAATGTATATCTATAAATCTATAAATGTAGCTTATAATGCACAACAAGGGGTCAATAATGTGAAACTATTACTATACATAAATACACACTGTTTCCACAACCCATGTTAATATATCTAATATGTAATATGACTATATGTATATATGTCCATTTTAATTTTAATTTTAATACATTTCTTACCTATAGTTTATATGACCGAATATGTATATATGCTCATTTTTTATTTAATTGTATTAATTTCTTATTTCATAGTTTCTCATTATTATTATTTTTATTTTTATCGCTGATCTTATTTTTGATTGTATTAATCTGTGCTATCCTGTTTTTCACTCTTACCCTGTTGCTATTTAAACAACTGAATTTCCCCACAGGGATTAATAAAGATCCATCTTATCTTATCTTAATCAGTTTGAACACATCATATGGGGTGAAGTGTACACCAGTGTTGCTTTTCTTTACCTCTTTGTACCTGTAAGAGAACTACATTTGCACATTTCAGCCATTTATCTTAACCTTTATTAGGCAAGGCAAGGCAAGTTTTTTTATATAGCACTTTTCAACACAAGGCAATTCAAAGTGCTTTACAAAAAATGAAAGACATTATATTACCTCTGCCAACGAGGCTATGTTTTTGGTTCTGTTTGTTTGTTGGGTGCTTGTCTGTTTGGCCAATGAAAGGACCCATTAAATGTTGGAGCGTCTCTGAATAAGGGACAAAAACACACTTTATTTTTCACTCTTGTTACGAGATAGGGAAGGGCCTTGGCGAGGGTTCCTTGAGTGATCTATACTATTTCTGTGTGTTTTGGCTTTTTGGAACATCAGTAGCTTTTCTAATTCATTACATTTTGGTTGCAAGTTCTCAGAAGCCTGAGTATCCTTGTGTGTGGTTAACTTAACTTCCTTAATATTTTATTTGTCTTGCCTGACCTCCCTGACTTAAACCATAGTTTCAGAAAACCTAAACTTCACAGAAATAGAGAAAAATGTATGTATTTTCTATGAAAGGGAATACACGAGAAACTATTCTCAATATGTTTTCATTAGAAGATGTGTAGCCCTGTTCCTGGCAGGTTTACCACGTGGTTTTAAAGTACTGGCAAAACAATATAATCCTTTGGATAAAACTATTATCTTCTTCATTCCTAAAACACGTTTATTTTACAGTTCCGTATGGTTTTCATCCAAAATAAAGCTACAATCTCCTTTGCACCATCAACACCTAAGAGCTCCACTCTAATCAATGACCATCTGACATCTAGGAATGAAAGATAAGATGTTAACAGAACCGTCTGTCCCCTGAAAACCACACGAGGCCTTCCAGACAGTAATAAAAACAGGCTTTTTAGAAACCACAGACATGGTTTTCAACAAGAAAATGGTCCAGCTGAACTGCCCGGCTGCTCATTACTAAATTAAAATATAAAAATTAAAATAACCTGAACAATTTAATGACATTAAATGATATGTCTAGCCATTAAAGTTTTATAATGTTCTACAATTCACATCAGTCAAATCTAAAATCTATTCTCTGTCCACTACTGTGCTTAATACTGTGATACGTTTTCAGTGCTCATGGTGCATTATCTGCTCTGAAGATCTTAGTTGTAGAAAAAACCTGCTTTTTCTGAATTATCTGGACCAGTCTATGACATGAAATGATCCAAACTGCAAGTAAAAACATTAATTTGTCAACACCTTTGATCTGAATGCAGCCGGGATAATAACATCAACTCATTCATATGAATCGTACGCAAGCCCAGGTGTGCAAAACTCCTGCAGCTCCAATCTGACTACTTTAATTAGTTAGGATGGTAATTATGCTGCGGTCTAGCAAGAGATCAAATCAACTTCCGCCTCAGGGCCTCTGGAGCATATCTACATGTATATTCTCCTCAATTTCCCAACTTTCTCTTTGCCACGTCAACAACGAGCGGCTGCCACAGACACACAAACACTTCATGAATCACACATCTTTGTTTTGCTCTAATCCAAAATTAGATCCCATATTGAAAATTGTTGTAACAATGCCATTGGACAGCTTTTATTTCCGAGTGTCTGAAACCACAAGAGATTCACGGGGTAGTAATCCCTCCTTGTTGTTTTAAAGGGCAGTCATTTAGGATTAATGTTTTTCTTGTTATCATCTGCTCAAAGAATTCCCACTGTTTCATTGTCAGGAGACAAATGTCAGTCATTGATTTTAATTAACTTCACACCAAAACAACACTCTTGAACACCGCAAGAGTTCTACCCAACTGCATTTTAATGCTCTTAACTAATTTCCTGATCACAACAGGAAGGTTTATGATGAGAAACGAATCAACGTGGCCAATCCAGCAAGTCCAAAAGGATATAAAAGAGGATGATACGATCTCAGGGTCAGAACAACGAAGCATCACCTCCAGAAAGAACCTCATCCACCAAGCCAAAGCTTTGCGACTCCTGGAAGATCTTCACCATGAGACAGTCACTCATGCCCCTCATCTTTGCCGCAGCGCTCCTGTTCCAGTGCTACGCCCTGTCGATTGCGCTACCCATGGGCAAGATGGACGACGGCTCCCTTGAGCAGGATGCTTTCGCTTCACTGCTGAGCGACGAGGTGACAGACAACAGTCTTGGCGACTCAGATCTGGCCACTGCGGGTAAAACCAGAGGGCCGAGGGTGATCATCGTCGGCAGTCCGAGCCTCTGGAGGGAACTGCAGTCGACGCACGGCGGACTGACCATCTACAAGCGGAGAGCAGACGACAACAACCAGGACCTGAACATCCCCATCCTGAGGAGGAACACCATGAGGTGCATGGTGGGACGGGTGTACCGGCCATGCTGGGAAGAATAGGACAGTTTACTCTGCTTCTCTAGGTGCCAAAACAGAAGACAACCACCACCTCTTTTCCTGCCTTACACTGATTGTAACATAATCCAAAAATATATGTATCTATATTCAAACTACTGCAGATCTGAGAATTAAAAACACTGAATTCTGCCTTATGTCTTGAATGTTTGTCTCTTTAATAACTTCAAAAACATTTAAAGGTTACTTTTTTGTTCTGTTCTGAAAAGTGACGGAAGGTAAAACCCAAATTGTGGTTGTTACTTTTCTGTATGTGTTTAGATTGTATAAGATTGAATGTGATAACTAGAAAGGCAGTCCGATAGTGCAGACCTCCAAAAAGGCAATTTTCATAGCGAAAAATAATGTGTCCACAACAAGCTAACAGAACTGAAAGCATAACCTCCTCGGTAAAGTTAATTAAGGCTTAAGCATCATACTTACATAGTAAACTGATCATTTTTAAGTTTCTTCTTTCATTGTAAAAGGTGCAAATTAACAATTTGCCGCTTCCCTTTGCGTTACTGCCGCCGAAGCGCCCCTCTCATTTTCTGACAAGGTTGGTCCTCTGACAGACTTTAGCCGGTTGGCGAAAATTCATTTGCGTCAACATATCTGCAAAGTTTCCCTTTAAGCACAGACATTAAAATGGTTACTTGTTATCTTACACATCAATCTAGAAACTAGACATTAGAGGATGGATGAAAGCGAAAAGAGAGCTGATTTCGAAATAATCAAAAGCAGGGTTAAATAAAGTTTCTGAATGTGATCCTTCGGTAGCACTTTAAACAGCTGGTGTTGAAGTAACAGGTTAGTGTTGGCTTTGATCTGCCTTCTTTGGAACGTATTGTACTTCTGGTTCAACAAAAACAAACTGTGATGGGAGGAGCGGCCTTGATAAGCCCTATGACCTGCTCCCTTTTAGCAGCTCCCCTAAAATTCCCGACAGATTTTCACATAAGAGTTGCATCATATCCTGTACAATGGTAAATAACAGCTGTGTTATGTGTGCTTGTGGCCTCTTCTCTACAGAACAAAGGCGGGCTCTTGAGAGTCTATTTCCAACTGTACAAGAGCTCATCAGAGCATCAGCCTTAATGATTTCCTAGGCTTTGCAGATGTGTCCGGCACTCAACTAGCAGAGGCTATAAAAGTAAATCAATCAGGATAGGAATGAAGCTTCCTGATGGTCATCAATTACACATGATTTGGCTCATGTAGAGACTATAGCTTCTACGCTGCAGGAAGGAAGGACCTGCGGTTTCAAGAGGGTTTCATCCCTCCATATTCTTCTTAAAGCTTTTTTCTTATTCAAAAGAAGACCTTAACCTAAAGTACTCTTTAATGTTTGAATTAAGCCTTATTAGTTTGTCTGTTTTGCACATCCTCCTATTAATATCTGTAGCGGCCAAAATCATACAGATAATTAACTTAAAATAATACAGCCGCTGAGGCACTAGTTAGCGGATCTTACGCAGGGCAATGATCCAGGTCCAGACAAGATTCTCCATTTGTGCAGTTTATTCCGATAACAAAGTACAACAAACAGGTTTCCTATATCCCTTTTCCTTAAGCCTTTCCTATGGCTTTCCTTTTGCTGGCTTGAAACACCCTGGTAACAAACCGTTTGCCTGCTAGTGCTCTGGCTCCCACCACCCACCTGTCTCCAATATATACAATTACACCAGGTGCTCTAATCACCCAGTGCCCAAAACATGCCTTCAAAATAAAAGCATAGAAAATACTTTAACTTATGAGACTAACTAAGAATACATTTACAATAAACACTATAAAACAACAAGACAATAAATGTTAAACTATTAAATAATATAAAGATATATAGCTCCAACAATATCTAATAATAAAATAATACAATTCAATAACGTTCTTCAACCTTTCTATCAGCTCTGCACCGTTATGGTTTAAATACAGCCTATCTACCAATTGGATCAAATATAAAAGTCAGCCGAATTAGTGTTGATACTGCAAGGAGACGTATTGTGTGAAAAGAAATGTAAGATGTTGTTTAATTGCTTATATATTTATGATCCACGTCACATTTTCAGTTTTGGCGGCAGTTCTCCTGTTTGTCTAGAAGTCTTCTCATAAATAGAGAATTACGGCAGATATGTAATAGGCTATTTAATGCAGCCGAACCGTGTATTACAATGCGATATGATGACTTTCAAAGAGAAAAGCAAGCACACTCGGAATAAAGTATTATTGTATTTTTTTAAAACGTTTTCAGATTTCACATCACATAAACACCAAATCCCAGCATGCATTGCCGCTAAACCATCCAATCATCGAGCTGAGGATCTTGCCTACGTCTGTTTCCGGTTTTGTTTATGACCGATGTATTTTGTTATACACACATTCCTTCACATTTACATTTTAATTTGCATTAAAGTATTTCGTGAGGCCTTCTAACATGTTTTTAAATATAACTACGGTTGTAGTTGAAAAGTTTGTAAATTAACATGAACCGAAGCTGTTGCCTGGCAACTCAATCGCACAACATGCGTTAATTCCACATCCACACGCATGGATTAACATCGATTTAATACATTAATGTAGCCTTTGTTTCTGCTAAAAGAGGTGTCGACGAGCTGGGGCAACAAGAAAATCGGCGTAATCGAGACTATTACAAAATAAATCATTACGTCGGGGTAGCATTTGCTTGGTATTTCCGGTTATTTCTCCACTGGTTAACATGGGTTAACAATACCGTGTAACTGTCACGTTTGAAGGGACGAAATCGTGACATCTTCACGTCTCCCAGCATGGTAAATCGTCACATGTTCACGTCTTGCCGTGATATCGGGTTGGTTGCAGAATGCAGCGAATAACAACTATTTAACAGATTTAAACACATATCTCTCTCTGTGAGGTCTCTTTTAGCAATGTGGTGTAAGAGACGGTGTTTATTTGCTTTTACCATAATCTTTATAGACAGATACAGTATCTGCATTTCATCTTTAGTCAACAACAAGATTTAAATATTGGAAGCTTTCTGGTTTCCATGTGTAGTCGGTTTGTAGTCTGTCTTGTATTGACCATCATAAGCTACTTTGATTGGAAAGAAAAAGAGGTGGCAGGCATTTGCAGAAATGCAATCTCGGAATCCATAAACTATCATCCAGTGAGGATTTTGCTTTTCGTTGGGTGTAGACTTTCTCTAGTAGGACTCTAAATGATTATTGGTGCACTCAGGGGAAGGCTTGACCATGTATCTGTTATCCCGATATCCATTAGTAGCCGTTGTCCACTGAGTCTAAATTGTCCTCAACAGATAGCTGACGGGTTGCTCAACCACGGAAATTATTTTCTGACGCGTTAACCTATTAGCAAGACACTTCAAGAAACTGTCACCTAAAGAAAATGTGTGTATTTTACTCTAACACCATTTAATTCCTATACCATTTATACCATTTTCTATTACATATGAGCAGTCCAGCTGTGGTCTGGTCTTTATGAGGAGGGATTAACACTTACTGCCCAGTGCCACCCTGCTGGTGCAAAAATGATGAGGTCTCTATGTGAGGTCCAGTTGTGACTTGTGAATAATTGCAAACACCTTCCCTGCCAGGAATCAGTTGTGAAAAGCAGTAAAAAAAGAAAAAAAAGAAAAGGTTGCTGGTGCTTGTTAAAATGGCTTAGTCACAACTGCAGAACATTCCTCACAATATTAAAGAAGGAACAGTCAGCAGAATGTGTTTCTGGGAATGTGTGCACCTTTTTGGTATTTAGGATTAAGCTTAATTGGTTTAAGACATCGGCAGATATCCAGCATGTGAGAAATGTAATGCTCCAACAAAACGATTTAAAAGCCATGGTTTGGAAACTGGGGTACTAGAAAAATACTACTTAATGCCCTGTTGGACTGTTTATTGCAAAGTAAATCCTTCAATTTTGGATAAGCTTCCTTGCGTTAAAAAAAAACGGCAGTTGCTAACAAGGACACTACATTACGTCATCACACCAACGAGTCCGCCTTTAGTTTAGCGGTGCCGGTGGTGATGCGAAGCCATGCGACCGAGATGCAGTTCCTTTATAGCCTTTAGCTTTTTACTTCTGGCTATTGCATTTCAGTTGATGAACCACAAAGGGGCATTCATATGTGGAGATTATCCTGTTGAGTAAAACGTGTACGTATCAATCAATGTGTGTTTGCCACAGAGCTTATTTTCCGCAATACACTGACATTTAATCAAGGGGACCCCAATGCGAGGCTACATTCAAAGACAGTCTACAAAAAACCTCATCACTGCAACACTCTATAAAGATTGGTTAGGGTTAGGCCACCACTTTTATTGAAATGGATATTGTAGGGTATTTTAGCTCTGAGCGCAGGATGATTATTCTGAAAACCTGATGTTCACACACTGGACTTCCGGTTTTCAGAATAAAGCAGCTTTAAATTACACTGAACAAAAATATAAACGCAACACTTTTGTTTTTGCTCCCATTTTTTATGAGATGAACTCAAAGATCTAAAACATTTTCTATATACACAAAATAACCATTTATCTCAAATATTGTTCACAAATCTGAAACAATCTGTGATAGTGAGCACTTCTCCTTTGCCGAGATAATCCATCCCACCTCACAGGTGTGGCATATTAAGATGCTGATTAGACAGCATGATTATTGCACAGGTGTGCCTTAGGCTGGCCACAATAAAAGGCCACTCTGAAACGTGCATTTTTGCTTTATTGGGGGGGTCTGGGGGGGTCCGAAAACCAGTCAGTATCTGGTGTGAGGGGTAGGGTTAGGGTTAGGGTTAGGGTAATGTTGTGAATCGAGTGGCCTGTGTTCGTCGTCCATAACATACACCTGCCCATACCATAACCCCACCACCACCATGGTGGAAGTGGCACATTTTTTACGGCTGTGTATTTTCAAATTCTAGCGCACTCGAGCTGGTTTCTCCAACATTACTATTCCCAGGGCCGGCCCTAGATTTTTGGGGACCCTAAGCGAGCTTTGGCATGGGGGCCACCCTCACTCTAGCGCGTTCTCATTACACACAACATGGAACCAACTTTTGTCTTATGATGTTAGCATAAGCACACATATTGTATAAATAAGCATGTAAACACCACGGACCTAACATCCTCTAGGGGGGTCCTCACCTCCTCTAGG